AGATTTTGAAAATTCACTTATTTTTGGATGTATATCAAATATACTTTGTCTCCTCTTGAGATCAAGGCACTTTGCCAGCTTCAGTGGACAAATCAAAGTAATTTGTGATTTGTTCTTTTTAAAAAGTTTTTTAAAATTGTCTTTTTTGTAAATAGTCATAAAATACCTAAGTAGTAAATTCAGCAATAAATGCACCACAACCATCCTTTTGAAAAAATTGTTACTGTGGCAAAGGTAGTGGGATGCTAGATATGGCTGTGATTTTTAGTTTAGCAGAAAAGTCAGAATATCCATTAATCCTTTGCAGTTGTTTGTGGAGCTTTTTTAAAAGTGTCATTAAACTTTTTTCACCTCTGTGCATTGTCTGTTCTTAACTGATTTGGATGACTGTCTTCAGTTTCTCAGAAAATTAAATGTCGTCAGAAGACCGAGAAGCTCAGGAAGAGGAATTGCTGGCCCTGGCGAATATTTATGATGGAGATGAATTTAGAAAAGCAGAGTCTGTCGAAGGTGGAGAAATCAGGATCCATTTGGATCTGCCACAAAATTTCAAGATATTTGTAAGCGGTTAGTTAACAATATTCTTGTAGACAGATTTTTCTCAATAAAGATTATTCTCAATTTCTTCATTTATCTTAAACGATTTGTCACTTTGTGTTTATAGGCTTTAGTGACAGATGGCAGTATTACAGATGTAATCCATCCTTTTAAAATGAAAATTAGAATGGGGTGTAAGCTGTTTTCTATTTGATTCCATCTTTGTGCCCACTGAATTGGGATATTATCCTGCCTATTTCATGCGTCCTAGTCTTCTTCTAACTAGCAGTTTATCAGCCATGAGTCATTGGCTGTTCAATCGGGATAATCAAAGAGGAAACAAAATCATGTGTGGAAAAGCACTTGGAAAACTTCACAATACCACTGTGGTGGTTAATACTGTTTGGTTTCCAGAATCATTTCAACTATTGTAAACACATGACACATGCTGGTACTCTGTGACCTTTTGCTTCAGGAAAAACAAAACTGCTGCTTTTGATACAAACTTTCATATAAGACCTTGATGCACACTTCCTCAAGATGTTTCTACTATGAAGGCATTGAGTACAGAACATTGAGTGTGATCATTTAAATGGAGCTTTGATTGTAAGAGTGCTATGTGCTGTATCATGGCCTCAAACCTGAGATCATTGTGTGGGCACAAATTTTCCCAACTATGATTTACGGATAGTTGGCACATGATGGTCTAACTAGGTCGTGGCTGTTTGATAGAAATAACATCCTTTTCTTTAGATTATGTCTTTAATCATCTACTCTAAACCAACAGTGAAACAAAACATTGTGTATTACTTGGTCTTTTATGTTAGAAATTGTATTCAGAAGTATTTTCATGGTGCTTAGTTAATTTTTTTTTTTTTTTTGTCCTTTTTTGAGACCGGCCACACCGCACTCAGCCAGTGAGCGCTGTGAGCGAACCGGTCATCCCTATATAGGATCCGAACCCGCAGCGGGAGCGCTGCTGCACTCCCAGCACCGCACTCTCCCGGGTGCGCCACGGGCTCGGCCCAATTATTTGTTTATTTATTTATTTATTTTTGAAGGTGGTGACTATGAAGTTAAAATTAGTGAATAGAAAGTGTTTGGGGGGAGGGTTTTTATCCCCTCAGCTAAAGGGTCTAGTTTTTCTTGAGAACTGCTCTACACTAATGGACACTCAAGTGTTGACCAACTGATCCTTTCTAATGTTTGTTTTTGGTTCAGGCAATTCAAATGAGTATCTCCGGAATAGTGGCTTCGAATACGCCATTTGCTTTCTGCCTCCACTTGTGCTGAACTTCGAACTGCCACCAGATTATCCATCCACCTCCCCACCTTCATTCACACTTAGTGGCAAATGGCTGTCACCAACTCAGGTTAGACCCGAAACTTAATTTCTCCTATCCATTTTTAGAAATTTAAAAAATCATCTTTAAGGGCTGACCCGTGGCTCACTTGGGAGAGTGCGGTGCTGATAACACCAAGGCTACGGGTTCGGATCGCTATATAGGGATGGTTGGTTCGCTCACTTGGGAGAGAGCCTGGTGCTGACAACACCAAGTCAAGGGTTAAGATCCCCTTACCGGTCATCTTTAAAAAAAAAAAAAAAAATCATCTTTAATTGAAGATTACCTTGATGATCTAGAAATCGGTGCATGAAGAACAAATGGGTTTGATTTTATAATTTTTTTTCCCTTGCCTTCATGAATTCTAACGTTAATGAATTGAAAATGTTTGATGTTTTAAAAAGGAATGGCACTGATTAAAACAATCATTATGAAATATGGGAGTTATTTTTAGTCAAGTATATTGTTTCTCTTCTGATCTGCTGTTTTCCCATTTATTTTATTGTAATGGAGACTATGAGATCATTCTCATTTTCCTTAAACATTGGTATTAGATTTTTTTTCTTAAATAATCATTTAATTGTAATTAGGGCTAAGAATTGAGCTAATGTAGTTAGTTAGCAAATTTCCTGAATAAATATATAAATACTTTTCTTTTTAAAAATCTGTATATTAATAACTAGTATGTATTGACTGCTATCACATAGACATAAATGTATACAGATACAAAATTCTACAGTTTCTGTAGATATCTCATTAAGGCTTGAAGACATATAATAGCCTTCATTTCCTCTGGGTTATATATCCTTTTCTAGTAATAACTGCAACTCTTGATTGAGGCATAACTATAACTTGAAGACAGAGAATTCTGGGATAGGTCACAGATCAATAGCAGCTACTTTTCTAGAAGTTATAATGAACATTGATAGACTGATGTATATTAAGGGAAAAGCTTTCAGAGCTCCTGCTGTGAAGGAACAGCTCATTAAATCTTCCTTTTTGATCATAAAGTTTTCATTCCCCTTCCCATCAGTCTAATCTTTTAGATGAGATTGCTTTTGCAGAATTGAGCATATGGTTTAAACATTTTTTTCTTATTTTTTTTTGATGGCTAGCCAGTAGGGGGATTGGAACCCTTGACCTTGGTGTTACAAGGAATTACTCTAACCAATTCAGCTAACCGGCCAGCTCCTATCATTCACAAATAAAATTATACTTAAAAGAAAGGGTAATACATGAGGAATAAAAAGGAATATTCGTTTACATTCTAATATTTTTTCAGAGCCAGTAGATTCAAGACAGTTGATTATTTGCCCAGGAATATCAAGAGTGTTTGACACTTAGATCAGTGATAGTTGACTGAAACATTTAGATATTTATACTTCCATTTCTCCGGAGAGCTCTTGATCCTTTACATCCATGCATATGGGCACACACGCACAAAGCAGAGACAAATTAACTGGATGTGTGGTTGCAATTTCAAATTCCAGCCTATCAGCATCTACTTGATACTGGCTTTTAGGGGGAGTGCACGGGCGGAGGGCTGTTATTTTATCTTTTATAGCTAAAATTATACTAGCAACGGTCGGCCCCGTGGCTCACTTGGGAGAGTGCGGCGCTGGTAGCGCCGAGGCCATGGGTCAGATCCTATATAGGGATGGCCGGCGCTCACTGGCTGAGTGTGGTGCGGACGACACCAAGCTGAGGGTTGCGATCCCCTTACCGGTCAAAAAAAAAAAAAAAAAAAAAAATTACAGTAGCAATTCTTTATCAAATTTTCATGCATATAATTGACATTTTAAGTGGTCTCTTGTGTCCCTTCTTGGTTCGATTGTTGTGTGTTGCTACCCCTGATTCCTTGGAATTATGAATCTCATCTGTTGCTAGTGAAATTGACATGGACTTGTCATTCACTGATTGGGTGGGTGGATAGGAGGAAGTAGTTTTAGTTTTCTGGTATTTTCCATATCTCTCACACAGAGAAACACATGGTCCCTCTCTTACTCTTTTCCTCTATCTCACTGTCTACCCTTCACTTTTATGTGCATCCCAAACCTCTTTTGAGAAGGGACTGGAAGAGAAAGGAGGATAGAGGAGAATGGCTTCTTCATTGACTTGGCTTCTTCATTGGACTTGATGGCTCCCACAGGACTCAGTGCTTCCATTTCTGTATTACGTTTTATGGATTTTAGCAGAATTCTGTAGAAAAGCATGGTTGATCTTATAAGCATATTTATGCAAATGTGAAAAAGTATCAGTTGTCCAATTGTAACTTATCAATACGTATTTAAGTTAGTGGCTGTGCAGGGTTTAGTTGGTAGCACCACACAGGAAGGAACAGAAGATGTCCTTTTTTGCATGTTATTTAAATTTACAAAATTTGTTGCCCATCTGGATGGCTTATTTGTGGATGTTTACCTAAAAAAGAAACGCTGCTTAGAATTCCTGAGCTCTGCTTATGAATAAATGTGTTACATTTCTGATAGAAAATCCACTCATATTTGCCTTTCAAGTTGAGCAGACCACTTTTGAAGAGGAAAAGTTGAAGTAGTTTACCTCTGGTTGCTTAGCCTAGGAAGTGTGAACTTTCTCCATGGCACCAAACCTTGTTAAGGGCTTGCAATTATGTCCAGAGTTGGTATCATTCTACTTCCTTCCACTAACCAGCATGTGATGTTCTCCCAGACTGGTTAGTTAAAAACAGCTTGTAAATCTGAAAAATAAGGACTCTGAGCTTGATTCAATTAGTGATGCTTTGAGATGAGTTTGCTTTTTGATAGGACTGGGAGTTAGAATTAATTTTAAAGCTGTTCTTTTTTTAACCATTACTCCAGGGTACCTACAGGGCTGGGACTTCCCAAGGAAAATAAACAGTTCATTTTTGAGCTAGATTTCTTAGTGCTTTACAACATATATAAGGATACTAAAACAGAGAACAAATAGAGAATAGAAAAAGTCTTCCATTTCAGCGGTTCAAATGTAAATCTTTTTCTCCATCTTATGGGGTCTTGCCACATCTCTTGTTTTCATGTACTTCTTCCAGCTTCTAACTTCATTTTCTTCTGTGGCTCATGTTGCTCAGGAGTTTACGAAATGCCCTGATAAAAATGTTTGTACTGTTTTGTAGCCCAGTTTATCACAGTAGTGTTAGGATGTGTAAAGTCCTAACTTACAAGTTTAAAAGATTTCAAGGGAAATCAGGAGTTGGCAGCATGATCATTTTTCAAACTCACCAGCGTCCTCTTGTGTTTTCTTTCTCCTAGCTATCTGCTCTGTGCAGGCACTTAGACCGCCTGTGGGAAGAGCACCGTGGCAGTGTGGTCTTGTTTGCCTGGATGCAGTTTCTTAAGGAAGAGACTCTAGCGTACCTGAATATTGTCTCTCCTTTTGAGCTCAAGATGGGTTCTCAGAAAAAAGTACAGAGAAACACAGCTCAAGCCTCTCCCACCACAGAGCTAGATTTTGGAGGAGCTGCTGGATCTGATGTAGATGAAGAGGAGGTTGTGGACGAGAGAGCTGTGCAGGATGTGGCATCATTGTCAAGTCTGATCCGGGAAATCTTGGACTTTGATCAAGCTCAGCAGATAAAATCCTTTAATGGTAAATCGTTCCTGTGCAATATCTGTTTCTGTGAGAAGCTGGGTAGTGAATGCATGTACTTCATGGAGTGCAGGCACGTGTACTGCAAAGCCTGTCTGAAGGACTACTTTGAAATCCAGATCAGAGATGGCCAGGTTCAATGCCTCGACTGCCCGGAACCAAAGTGCCCTTCAGTGGCCACTCCTGGTCAGGTAACTGTTTACGGTGCTAATGGTTGTCTTCTAATTCTCTTTCACAAAGGGAGACATCTTCTTAGGAGCTCCCTTGATAGGGCGCCTGGGGGGCAATGTGAGCCCTGGAAGCCACCCACAGGTTGTTTAGGTGTGTCCATGAAGAATGCTATGGTTTTATTCTACAGTTGGGGCAAATGTTAATGCTTCCTTTGCTAGCCTCGGAATGGGTGCTCCTAGGCAAGGATGAGTGTAATTAAAAAAAGTAATTATGAAGTAATTCTGATGATTTACTTTGTGTATCTGCTTGGATCCCACCAACTCTGGGGAATCACTAGCCTGTCTTTATGTGAGGGGAATCCTTTGGAATGTTTAACTGAATCGTGTAAAGACTGCATCATAAGTACAGCCTACTTTTATTTTTTTAATCAATTTAATTAAGGCATAATATTACTTACAAAAACTGTACACATTTGAATTATACAATTTGCTTAGGTTTCACAAATGTGTAGAGCCATGTAACCACCATCTCATTGAAGATATATACCATTGCAATTCTTGGTTTGATTTTGAAGTGAGAGGGAGATTTTAATTTATGTGCCCTTCTGGTTTATACTGGCATCCTAAGAATGTCGTTGGGATCAGAACTGTTTTGGGAATGACCAAATCTATGTTATTTTGTATTTCCCTCCAGGTCAAAGAGCTAGTGGAAGCAGAGTTATTTGCTCGTTATGACCGTCTTCTCCTCCAGTCTACCTTGGACCAGATGGCAGATGTGGTGTGCTGCCCCCGCCTGTGTTGCCAGCTGCCTGTGATCCAAGAGCCTGGCTACACCATGGGCATCTGCTCAAGCTGCAATTTTGCCTTCTGTACCTTGTGCAGATTGACCTACCACGGGGTCTCTCCATGTAAGGGGACTGCAGGTATGTTGTTACTGTGTGGACCCAACCTGCACTGCCTTCCCTTACCTCCCCACTCCCAAACTCCCACCCTTCCCAAAGCATTATGACTTCAGGTTTTCACTTTGGAAGTGTTCACTTAAGAGATGTATCTGTGTCAGTTACTGTCCTAGGCTCTGTGGATATAGTAGGGACCAGAAGAGACAAAATCTCTGTTCTCATGGACTTACATTCTAGTGGGAAAGACCGGCAAACAAAATAAGTAAGGATATTAGGTGGTGATGAGTGCTAGGAGGAAAAAAATAAAGCAGGGACAGAATATGAAATGTTCTGAAGGGCAGGGAACTTGTGGGTTTTTTTAGGGAAACCGGGGTGGCCTCACTGACAACATGGTTTAAGTAAAGACTTGAAGGAAGTAAGGAAAACCATGCCACCCTGAGGGGGAACATTCCAAGAGAAGGAATGGCATGGTAATTTCTACCTGTAAATGTGGAATAATGTAGATCCAGATGGCAAATGCAGGGCATCCAAGCTGCCATTCTTGTTTCCATGGCACATATGTCTGATGAGTCATCAGATGCTTTCTCACTGAGCACAGGGAGGCCTCAGAATCTTCCTCAGCATGGTGCTTCAGTAAGCCACCCTCTGTTGAAGGAGGCACTGTAAGTGAAACCTGTTTTCCAATTCCATCTAGGTAGGGATTGGGAAATCAGGTCCTTGAAATCCATTTATCTAGGCTTTGGTGGCTTAGTCTTTGTTTGGCTAACAGAGACGATGATAGTAGCTACTTCATAGGGTTATTCTAAGGATGGAAGTGAACTAATGTAGAGCCACTCAAAGTTGTTATATTTGTTATACTGGTCTATGATGGGATGAATATGGAGGTTGAGAGTCAGTGTTAGAGGACTTTATAGCTCTTTCACAGAGTAATTTTATGTCAATCAAATCTAATAAAAATTTAGGGTTGTGGGCCGGCCCAGTGGCGCACTGGAGAGTGCGCTGCATGGGAGTGCGGCGGCTCCCGCTGAGGGTTCGGATCCCATGTGGAGACCGGTTCCCGCTCACTGGCTGAGCGCGGTGCGGGCGCAACACTGAGGGTTGCGATGCCGTTGCCGGTCCCCAGTACGGGCGTGACACCGAGGGTTGCGATCCCGTTACCGGTCAGTAAAAAAGACAAAAAGGAAAAAAAAAATTTAGGGTTGTACTTTTGGTCTACTTTCATTTTTCTAATAATTGGTTGGATTATATATTTTACAAAAGTGTTGATCCTTGACAGACTGGGGGCAAAAAACTGTTCTTCAGCATAGTGAGAAACAATGAGCTAATACATGTAAAATGCAAAATGATAACTATTAATGCTTTTATTATTATAGTACTAATCGCTTATGTTAGCAGACTGTCATTATTTCCAAGAAAGTATCCTGAGAGGAGAGAGTGAGTAGAGAATTCCAGTTGCCTAGGCCAGATTCTTGTAGAGGGTAAGGGCAGGTAGGATGGAGAACTTACCAAAATATAATACAAGCCTTTACTTTAGACTTCTGTAACCTTATCATTGAGAGGCTGAAGTGCATTTTAGGTGTGTCATAGCATTCGGGAAAGAATTTGAATATATTCTGGGGGTTTCAGCAAAATTAAGAATCTTTCTTTCTCTTTATATATGTATTATATATTATATGACATACTCACAATTTTATTATTTCAAGAACATTAAAGCAATAAGCTTTGTCCTTCATATGTCTAGGAACAAAAAAATGCTTTGAATTAGTAGAGGGATAAAAGTGACAGGATTAATAAGATCTGTCTGTTACACTGAAGTTGAGGTGATGGAGCCACGGGAATGCACAACACAGAGAAAGGAAAATAGTGCAGATAGGATTCTGTCTTAAAAGATGTCCATTGCTTTAAAAGGGAGACATACCTCTAAATATTATGAGGAAAGTAAACTAATAAAATAACTACAACATTGTTGAGAAACATCTTTAAGTAATTGTGTTGAAAATTAAGGTTATAGAATTGTGAATAAAAGCCTTTTGTCTACAAATAAAGGCCTTGGGAATGGTTGCCTGTTAAATGATAGAGCAGTGGATGCCAGGTTGAAGATCATCAAGGGAAGAAGTTGACAGGAGGAACTTTTCAGCACTTGTAACAAATCATAGTACAGGTTGAGAGTGAGCATGGTAAATTAAAAAAAAGTTTTTTTCTGCTTCTGTTGTTTGAAATGAGCATGGGAAGTTTTATTTACTGGTTTTTTTTTTTTTTATGTACAGATTTGAACAGTTAGTCTTTGCCCTTAAGCCAAAGGTGCCTCTGTGTATTTGTTAGGTCTTGTTCATTATCAAATGTTGAATGATGCTGACTTAGAGGAAAATCAGTGTGTGTTTTCAACCTTAGTGTCTTGTAGATAAGTCCATCTTTATCTGTATACTACTAGTTGCTTAAATATATCAACATTAAGAAATCTAATTTGAAGGAAAAAAATGACCTATTATTCTACCATCTTTAGCAAATCCATCTTTTCTTCTTTTTTTTTTTTTTTTTTCTTTTTTCGTGTCCGGCAACGGACCGCAACCCTCAGTGTCGCGCCTGCACCGGACTGGGACCGGCAACGGGATCGCAACCCTCGGTGCTGTGCCCGCCCCTCGCTCAGCCAGTGAGCAGGAACCGGTCTGTATGTGGGATCCGAACCCTCGGCGGGAGCGCCACCGCGCTCCGAAGTGGCGCACTGTAGCAGACAAATCCATCTTTTCCGATTGAGGGATTGCTTTCTCTTCTTGTCATTTCTGTAAATGTAATTTTTACCTAGTGTTTCTGGATTCTGTAATTAATATTTTTGTTTGTTTGTTTGTTTTTGGCGGCTGGCTGGTACAGGGATCGAGCCCTGGACCTTGGTGTTATCAGCACCATGCTGTAAGCGATTAAGCTAAGTGGCCAGCCCCAGTAATGAGTGTTTTAATTGGGTTGTAGCCATACTAATTATAAGTTTTTAATAACTGGATCATATGTCATTAAATGCCTCTTCCACACAGTTATTTCCTTAGAAATTTAATTTGTTTACCATTGTTATATGCATCTGCATGCATATGACTTTACTTTGGATTATTTCCTTATGATAAAGTTCCAGGAATAGCACTAATGAGTAGTCAAAGATTATGACCATTTTAAATAACCTTTAGTCTGCATTGCAACGTTGTATAAAAGTTAATTTTTCATTTCACTTATCGACTCGCAAGATGATGACCCTGACGCAGATGAGGTCAATAAACGACTTTCGGCATCGAAGTATCGTCGGAGGAGGATTAGGAAGGAAGAGATGAAAAGTAAGGAGTGGCTAGAAAATAACTCTAAGAGCTGCCCGTGCTGTGGGACTCCCATACAGGTAAATGTTTTGGTACAGACTTGGAGGCAAACAGACTTGCAATCATATTATGATTGCCTTAAGAAGCCTATTGGTTCATTTTATGAATTATTAGTCCATTATTTATGACTTGTACTATGAAAACACATTTGGTATTTATGTAGCCTTCTTACTTGGAAGATACACATTTCACTACTAAATATGGTTATTGACGTTACGTGTATTTACACTTCCTTTTTCAAAGTGCTTTCATACAGTGACAGTTGTTCTTTTTTAAAAATTTTTTATTAGCATATCCATTGTTGCAAATCATAATTATTGTTTATGCCCCTTATCTAATCTCTCCCCTTTCCCCTCTCCTTTTACCTCTCCTCCTCACCCTTTCCCCCTTCCACGTCTTCCCCCCCCCCCCCCCCCC